TATATATATATATACTTACGTATATATATTTTACTACACGTTTGAATATACGCACGCGCACATTCATAATAGCGATTCTAATTTCGGAGCACAGATGCTTCTTCCATGAAGATTTTCAATGTTACGTCATTTTTCGTCTGGAAATAATTCATTCGTTATGACACGCGAACAGCTTTGTACTCACACAAGCGTTATTTACATATTATATGTAAAAATAAATTGTATCTCACGTTTATTGCGTAGTTATCCATGGAATAAAACACCATAAATAGCTTAAAAAAGGAAGCTTATTTAAGCTGATAAATCGATGATTAAATTTAGTATTTATGTATTTATGTATTATAATGTATCGGAGATTATGAGAAAAACATTGAATTATTCATTCATTTCTATTTAGAGTTTCACGTATAGAAAATATCCATCCTTCTAATCTTTTATAAATTTTTACGACAGAAACCACTTATTTGCAATATTCGCCATGTGTCGTGAATTATTAATTCAGGAAGATATAGTATTCAAGTAGTTTAAGTTTGCCGGCCGACGTTGTTTAATAATTAATAGGCGATATTAATGGTAGACATGGTATTTATTTTGCGACACGAGAAATATGGCGTTGTAACATTGCGGTTCAAATGCTAGCTATCGATGGCGATAATTAAAGAATGTTATATCGCAACCTTGCTCCGCATTAAATAGACATTATTTATACACTTTAAGTACATTTCCATTCGCATTACATCATGCGAAATATTCGTTGTAATCGCGGTGATAATCGTGTACTTTCTTTCTACCGCGCGCGCGCGTCTCTCTTTCTCTCTCTCTCTCTCTCTCTCTCTCTCTCTCTCTCTCTCTCTTTCTTCATTTCATAACAATTTATTAATCCCATTATCAATTTCTAATACTTAGCTATCTTACTTGATCTTGCGATCAGATATGTTTGTTTGGAAATATGATGCGATGACGATATTCGGTCACTCGTTCGGTTTACACAAACAGACAAACAATTTCATTAAATTTGCTACGATCTCTTTGAAATCGATATTATTAATATCATAAAACGTCATTTTTTCATCTGAATAATTCATTAGCATAGTTTATCTTGTGGTCACGTAAATTATATGTTATCATATAACTGTTATATGAAAATTTCTTGTCTCTTTAGCAAATTAATTAATCTTTTTTTATTTACATACATATGTATACACACTCATGTATGTTTCATATTTCATGCTATTTAGTTTTGTTATTATAGCATGAATAAAGTTTTTCAGTTCTCTTCAAATATTCTCTTCAGTTTTCTTAATTGCAAAAAAAATTAGTTTTATTCATGCTCTGTATTTTTCCACATGGATATGTTTGATAAAAATAATTGCGAACCTTTATCTTGTGTAAAATATTATTTTATTACCTAATGTTGTGACATATTATTATCAGAGAATCGCCTTTTTTATCGCACGTTTTTTATCGCATGTCCAAAGTAAATAATCTCCAATATTTTTTGGCGAGATTGCTTTTGAATTATTTGCGATTAGAATTCTAAAAAAGGATATCAGCTTCGATGTTGAATATCTGTAGGATGTGAAAGTCAACAAGAATATCAGTTTCACTTTAAGAGAGTATCAATTTCAAGGCTAATTACCAGGATGTCGAAAGTCGAAAAGTTGTAACGCAAGCGATGAGCTTTTTCTTTGCAGTTACAAAAAAAAAAGTGTATTAAGGGTAATGCGATTTAACTTTACATCATGCCCTAGCTATCTTTTTTATTGATTGATGTTGTACAAGTAATGTGGATCGATATATAAGAACGAATCATGTTTATAATCTATGAAATGTAATCTATGAAAGATATTCACTATGTGACGACGTATCTCGTAACTTAGCAGAAACGTGACTCGCAGACTTATTAACAGAAAGTGCGTCATAATTCTTGTTTTATTTTTATTGTATTAATTAATCATCTCAAAATCTCAGTATCTCTCTCGAATCTAGATAATAACATATATTAACTCTTTGAACAGCGTAAAACCATAATTTAATCGTAAAAACATCTTTTCTTGTCGTCCAAGTAGTCATTTAGTCAGTAAACATCATTTTGAAATCTTTTCCTGTCATTAGTGAGTACTGTCAGGCGGAAGCCAATTTGTTATAAACCATCGATGCTTATATAATCATTCATTTGTCTACATACGCTTTTAGTTTCATTTACTGAGTTCATTATTCATAATGCCAAATTCACAACTCTAATTATATCCAATTTGAGTTACTTTTAATTATTTTTAAGGTCGCCACCGTTCTTACTCAATATGTCGTTAATTTAACTAACACAATGGAGTTGTACAATTTAACTATTTAACTCAAGCAAGTGTATTATTTTTAATTCAAATTTATTTTATTATTTGCTAAGTGCATACGTTAATGTGAACATTGTTTGCTTTGAAACTAATCACAGAATTGATTTACATTTTGACACACATGAAAGTTAAAAATAGCAAAATGTTATTTATCTTAAGAGATTGAGTTGCTATTGCTTCTTTGATATACAGTGTACGTGCACTGATAAATACATTAAATCCATGATTAAATTCATGTAATACACATCAGTGAGCACACATAATTCTTATAAAAATCGTCGTAATGATCATCTTTTTCATCTATACGTTTTTATCTTTACAGGTCTAGGCGATATTTAACATCTGTCAAACTGCAGGACATTTGTAATTGCAGGAAAGTCGTATCGCAAACACAATCTTATTGCACCATGACGGTTGCATCGAAGGGACTGATATCTCACGGCTGAAATTGCTTTGTGAAATTGCCATTCATCGCGCGACCTTCGGATACGAAGCTTCCGCGGGAAAAACGATCGTGCGTGGCGTGCACGTTTCAGTACGACGCCGACCGTCGCCGGGTGAGGAACAACTATTATCATTAGTGCTCCGACGTAACCAGCTCGACTAACCAAGCTCACGTTCTCCGATAATCGGCTCCGACGTGCGACGGGAAAATCAGAGAACAGGAAAGATCGGCGCTCTTCTGGGGGAAAGGTGCGTATGCGATATATATATATATATATATTTCTTTCATCCCTTTTTTTCCTTTCTGCTTATACGTATGATTCATGACATACTACGCGTCATGGATAGCAATCTACTCGGTTTATCGATCCGCAATTATATCTATCTGAATACCGAAGGAGATATAAAATGACAGTGTGATTGATAGTTAGATAGGAAATAAAAGAAAAATAGAAGACGAGAACGTGTTGTGGATATACTGCGTGGATACTTTCTAAGATTCTTGCTGCATTTCACATGAAGCGGATTATATATGAATTTTATAAATAAAAGTTGACTTTAATATATCTTCAAGTCGAAGCATTCTCTTTGTTGTGTAAATAAATAAATAAATTCAAAAACTTTTATATTATAATATGTATACACTCTCTAAGCTCTCTGGAGTGAAATGTCACTGTAAAGAGTAAAAATTGAGCCAGTTTTGAAAAAGAACTCAATTTTCAATCTTTAGGAGGGAGATTTCAATTCTTAAAAATGAGAGTCACTTCTCTAAAAGTGTCTTTTAAAAGGCATACACACATAACATTCACACATAATATATAATAGCGCAAATATCCTAAAGATTATTATTTTAGTTTATTCGTTAAAGGCAAAACAAAGGGAGCCTCAAACTTACAGATATATTAAAATGGAATTTTATATATAATATTGTAAAAAGTAATAAGATCGAAAAATTATTGATTTTTAACCGGTTATTCTGAACGGGAAGATAACGTAATTTATTTCACGTAAAAATGGATTGCGTATCTATACTTTTGTCCTTTAGAGATGATATCATAGTTGCAGAAATTGCCGTTTCATAAAAGCAGTAATCCAATTTGTATACGACATATTGCGCAAACATCACTATAATTATAATCATGATTCAGATCAAGATATTGGATGAATTGTATAGTTTTTATCAAATTTTATTTTGACGAACTCGCTCGATATTTGCTCATATATTAATTTTGATGTAATTCTGTTCACATTCGCTCTTCTATTTAAGCTAAGTGACGTAATTGTCGGTGAATGAAGCACGCGACGGCACTTAATTCGTCAATTATCCACCTGAGAACTTCCACGAAAGCTCCGCATTTCGTAACAGGAAGCTTAATCTAGTAATAATAATAAAATGAGAAACTGAATGTAATCAATATCAAAATTAAATTTGTAGACCTATTCCAGAGGAAACATTAATATTAACATTAAATGTAAAAATGAAAGTTTAAATTTTGCAATTATCAATAACACCAGCAAAATTGATGTTGATAATTAGTTTATATTATATTTTAAATTAATATTTTATCCTACAATGTGATATTGATAGAATACATTGTGGTTAAATGAAGGGGCGTATATTTCGCATATCTTCAAAAATTTTAAAAAATCACAATTGTATTTAATTACATCAATTTTATTTTCTTTACATGAAGCATTACAGAAGTCAACGACCGATGGTACAAATTTATCGTCTGGGTGGCGTAATTTAATTGCGCGTGTATTTCAGCTCGCCGAAATTTGGCGGATATTCAGGGTGCAATTCGTAATCTTTATCGTGAAAATATTCTCATTGAAAATTCAGTACGGTTTGTATATTTTCAATCCTCTTTTTTATGTCAAGATAATTTATGCATTGTTTTAATTATCAGCTGTCTTTTCAAAGTTATCGTAAACATGTTACGTTGTCCCAGGTGGGAACAAATGGTGACTTGCAAGAAAAAATCAATCCTAAAGTGTAACACGCGATTTATTATCGTACTTGTTTGTATCAAGAAATATAATAATTATCAAATTATTATCAGGTCTCCTCTGGCTCTTTATTTATATTCCTGATAAACATGCGCAATTTTAATAATTTAGTGTCGATAGAAATACTCACATATGATAGGTAAATTAAAAAACGAAACATTATTCTAGATCTAGATATAAGAAGTTTTAGGAATTTCCGGATAATGACTTGGGATAATGACTTTTACTAAATTTAAAGCAACGCGAAAATATGGCTCGTTTTGATTAATAATTACTTTGTTATTCATATGACAATATTAAGTAACTCAAATTTTTTTTAATTGGCTGATAACAAGTAAAAAGAAGTCATAAATAGATAGATGTATATATGTAGAAAGCAATAAAGTTATCAATCTGTTTATTTGATATGCCTGTTTCCGATTATAGTATCTGAATGTATTCGCAATGTGATTAGCACAAGTACATTATGAATCACGCTTCATCATGCTACGAAATTATGGTAGAAACAATGTTCTTTTTTTTTTGTGATGCAAAAGGCGACTGCAGCTTACGTATACTTTACATAACTATTGCTCTTAAAAAAAATTGTAATTATAGACTAGACGCGAATTCTTGTCAGCAAAAGCGTAATTGTATATTCTGCGAAATTCTGCGAAGTCTTACTTTTTATGGTCATTGAAATTTGAAACGACGATCATCTTCATGGACTTTGCAATTGCGCAAAAAGATTGCATCCGAATCCGTTTTTTTTTTTAAAGAAAAAAATTCATGAATCACGTTACGATGATATCCGGAATAAAAAAATCACAATAAATACATATCGAAAAGCGAAACTACGCAAAGATAAATAATATAAATAAAAATAAATAATGTCAAATAAATCATGTGACTTGTCAGTATAAATATTTGTAAAATATATGTTTGTTTTGCAAATTATAGTTAAAACATTAAATGTTTGATTTACTAGCTAAAATAGTTTGTTTTTTTACAAATTTTTATTAATGTTACAGATTAATTTTTAATCTTTTCCCCCAGTTCTAAAAATTAGGAAAAGAATAAATTAAATCAAGATTAATGTCAATCTATTATACAATATCGTGGAATATGTAGGTCTTAGTGATCAAGTTCGCTATTAAAGTAATGCTGTTATTGTTGCATATTACGTATCTAAATTCTAAATGTCATTTCATTCAGTCGGCTAATGAACGTAACGACTATAAACATAGCTCGCGATTAATACGCCGCGGGCGAGTTTGTTGTATAAGTTAACCCGTAACAATGCAGGTTAAATGCTGAGATAATTGATGCGCCGAATAAGAGCCGGCAGTTTCCACTGTTCGTGTTTACTGAATCGTCCGGTGAAATTGATTAACATACAGCTGCAGCATGTATTTCATGGACGAAGTAACACTGTGTGTAATTCGTATTGCAATCTTGTTTTTTTTAAAAATACATTTTTACCTTCTAATAGATTTGCTTAACTGACAATACACTTTCCTGGTCTTTTTTTTTTGTTTTTTTGAAATTCTGCGAAGGCTTGCTTTTTGTAATCATCGAAACGACGATCATTTTCGTGGAGTTTGCAATGCCCAAAAGAACATCTATTTTTTTTTTATAAAAAAAATGCATGAAATGCATGAATTGTATTACGATGATATCCGGAGTAAAAAAATCACAATAGATACATATCGAAAAGCGAAACCGCGCAAAGATAATATCAAATAAATTCGACAGGAATCAGTAGCTTTACATTTATTGCCATGTACATAACAAATAACTGTATATTATATTTTAAGTGCATTTACATTTTACTATTTGATGTACGTTCTGCGACAAATATCTGACAATTATTAATTTATTTAACGAAGTTAATGCGAAAAGCTGGCAATTTGATGACTAATTCATTTTTACTGCTTGCAAGACGAAGCACGTGTAAGCGATTACAAAAACTTTTGTCAGTCACTTATACATAATTTTTATCTCATGTTTGAATTACAAAAAAATTAGATAAAAGCGTGTTTATTAAGAATAAGAAAATTTCGTAAAAATCGTTAAAAATAATTCCTTTTATCTTGTTTGTACTTTAATATTTGAATTATTTAAGGGATAAGGAATGGTTGCGATAATAAATTAAAGTGTTATATTCCAAGATGACCTCATACACCCTGTGACATCTCATAAATCTTGCCTATCATTTTTCTTCTGTGTTCTGAGTTTTGTTTATGACTGTAGGAAAACTATACTCAAGTTACGCATCATCTTTCGTTAAGGTCGCTTCTGACGTCGAAAAACGATTCCAAATTTGTATGGCAGGTATTCTCGGTTGAGTCTGGTAACTCCTTCTAACAGAGATTTACGATGTAGATCAGCATCTTTCAACATGTATTATCATTGCTTCTCTAAGCCAAAGAGAAATTCAAACTATGATCAATTTGTTTTTTTAATGTAAAATGAGAAGTTCGCGTTGCATTTTACAGTAAAGATCTTACTAAAAATATTAGTTGTATCTGAAATTATTGTATCTTAGATGTAATAAAATCTTATTTTGTACACTTCGCACATAATTAATATCATTAATGAATCATGCAATTGAGATGCAATCTCTCATAAGAGAACAGAATAATTTTTAACATATTGGCTCTACGACAATCAGACCTGAAAGACTAAGATAATGATGTATAATTTTTACATTGTTGTTAAATACTAAATATAATAACTTATTTGAAAACATTTTAGACAAAGAAAATTCTGTGAATTGTGAAATTTATTTTAAATGATAGTAATTTTAAAATTATTTAAGAAAATGATAGCCAAAAAATAACTGACAAAATAATTTTGTGACTGACTCATTCCGAGATTAGATTGCTGGACCGCACATTCCTCTGTTTCGTTTCTTTGGAAGAAAAAGAGAGGAAAGGAATCCGGTAGAGACAGGAAAAAAGCGACCAAAAAATCGCTGTGTACTTGCATGAAGAAACGTGTATTTGTAGTTTTATCTTATATGTGTGGAAGAAGGCAAATTTAATTCCGAAAATTTATCACAAAGTTCCCGTAATCTGTGCGGTTTAACTCTCTTACTTTTCATCGAATTGAAGCGTAAAACTTGTGAACTTTATTTTACAGTGAATTTGTGCAAAATGAGATCAGATTAGGATGTATTATGGAATTATTCGGAATGGATTCCGATCGGAATTATTCAATTATTACCTTTTTTATTATATTTTCTAGGAAAAACGGAA